GACCGACGCATATATGTGCCTGGTCCTACGTCGTAGCTGACTGACTAACTGATGAAAGTATTACCTATTAGTGAGGAACTTTGATTTCACTCGGGATCGAACCAAAGATATCTATTCTTTGAAGTTAGAATGTCAAGAGTGAAACATCGATTACTATATATGCATTAAATGATGGTTGTTTATGATTTCAAAATAAATAATATCGGATTTAAACTTCATCATCTTGGTGAGAATTGAATATTCTAATTCCGATACCTAACGTGGTCATGGGTGGACGCTACTATTTGGTAGTGATTTCACACTTATGTGAAACAACATCCCTATGGTTCATGGTTTTAAATATTAGTCTACAAAGAAAATTACAATCAAACTCAACATTCTCAATAAACCTCAAATTCGCATAATGATTGATAATTGATGAAAATGATTAACTTCGGGGCATTAAATCTGTGATCATGTACTTTTGGCAATAAGCCATAGTTAATTGAAACGGCGAGACTATAATTTATGGACGAATCAATCAGGGATAAGATAACAGGTCTCGGATTTTAGCGCTAAATTCATTCATCAATTTGGATAAATAGCTGATATCAGTTCGTGATGAAAACCCTTATTCTAATTTCTAATCTTAATAATCAATTGTAAATCATAATTCTAATTCCCCACACAGGTTTATAATCCACATTCGGTCCTAGTTATTAGGTGGACACTCTCAAGGTCAGTCTAGCGTCACTGAAAGGTCGTCCATGAATTATAGTCTCACCATTGAAACTTCTAAGATTGTCAAATTTTAAACGTGGCATAACAATATTTAGTTTAATTTATTTAGTAAATTCAGTAAACAAATTCATAAGTTTCCTTAATGATGTGGTAGTATGTAGTACTGTATCAAACCCACATGGGTTATTCTAGCTTTCAGAGAGACCGACTTATTCGTTCTTTTTGAGTTACATTTTGACCTTGATAATCATTCGCTTATTAAACTTGTTTTTATATGGACGTATGTGTATTGATTACTTACCCTATTCATTAAGTGTCCGTATCTTATGTATAATGAGTCATGCTTGGTCAAAAGGAGTTGTCTCACTTGTCATCTCAGCTCCGCTTTCCTGCTTTTTATCCTGAATATCTGTTCGAATGACCGAGTACCTGAAATGAATTCATTCAACGCAACCCATATTTAGCTTTTTATTACCACCGTCCCACAGACAGGGTTAACCTAGGTAATATACAGAGTTAAATGGAAGATTTATGATCACATCATCATCGTACGATCAAACCGAAGTCAAGTATTGGGCCACAAACCGGGGAATAGAACTTTTTTCATTGCACAGAAATTGGAAATTTAATTTACCTGTTATATCACTCGATTTAGACACTGAAGAGGTGAACGATTAACATTATTTTAGCAGTGAATAAATAACTACATTATTCGGTTAAGTAGTTGTAATGTTCATTTTTCTACAATCTGAAATTTGTATTGATTGCATTCAAAACCAACGATTCAAGGTCTTGAATATGATTATGTGCGTTAAGATACAAGTGACCATTATAGGATAATTTCTAACAATGACGGAGAAGCTGTCTGGTAATCACTTTCCGGTCAGACTATAATTTATAGACAACCTTTGAGCGACGCTAGACTGACCTTGAAAATGTCCATCCAATAACTAGGACCAAATGAGGGTTATAAAATTTGTGTAAGTAATTTGAATTGTGATTTACAGTTGACGGTTAAGGTTAGGAATATGACACTTGACTCTTCACTTTTTAGATGTTTCTGAGAAACCTCTATTCAATGCTGATTGGGTAAAGTGTTTTCCAACGTTTTCAGCGCCCCTTTTGGCTTTTTACGAAGGATTTTCTGGGTTTCCCCAACAATTAGTTTACTAATAACTAAGTAACTTAAACTTTGTATTAATGGATTACTAAGTAGTGGCCAATATCATACTTGTCTCTGATTGTCAAGACTGTTTCTATTCAAGTTTGAAATATGACTACTGGTCTCAGTTAATCAGTTTTTAACTTTCAACAGGTCTCCCTGTTTTTTAATTATTTTAGTAATGAAAATGAAGCACTACTACTGTGTTGTTACTATAAAACACAGTAAAACAGCGTAGAATTCCTTGAATATATTTAAATGGATTTTTGAATAAAAAAGTAGTGAACAGATTGTTATAATCGAACCTTTCAGCTTTTATTGTTAATATTATATTTAAAGTATTTCTTCATTTGGATGAAGTACTTGTGTGGAAATTATTCTTAATTTGTAGGTAGGATTCGTCAAGGAGTAATTCTAGTCGAAGTAGCATTAAAACCAGGGAGGACAGAACAGTTGTTATAACTGGTTACGCGATTCCTCAGACATGTGCATCCGTAACTTAGCCAGTAGTCGAGACGAGGATCTTTAAGACAATCTGTGGTAAATCACATATACAAATTCAAATTATCTATGTAAAAGCACTTTAACAAAACTAATACAGTTGTGGTGTGTGCTACTTATGTAGACATAAGTAGCATATGACGTGAGTCATGAACAGAATGTTTGGCAGCAGAGAAACGAGAAGACTGAACAGTAACGAATGAAGACAGAATGCAATTTGTATGAAAATACAAGGACAAAGGAATTCTGAGTCATTTGAGACAAGTGATGGACATTTTGCAAATTGAGCATTTTATATATGGTTGTTAGATTTTACTAACTAGTTCTGTAATTTGTTGTTTAGTACATTCTATTGTCCCCAACGGTGTTCTGATCGCTACACAGTGACTTAATTATTGTGTATTTCGTAATGAATTCTTAAGGTTCCACTAGAAAGTTGTGGTTAGTGGGTTTCAGACAATTTAGGAGGACGGACTAGTCTGAACCAGTGACACTGGATGGTCTTGAAGTCTGATTGAAGTTCTGATGGCTTATTGGTTAAAGATTTGGAGTGAGACCGGAATTTTTTGTGACTGATTCCTAAAGTGGTCATAGTCAGGTCATGTTAATGATTATGTCATGTGAACAAAAAATAGTCATTCAATTTTTTTTGGTTTTCAATGATATTCTATTTTAAGTTAATGAACAATAAATGTCATCTAGAAATCAACTTATTAGTACTAGTTTAGTACCTAAAGTATTTCTTACTAAAATATTTTATCCGTAGATATCTTTATTTCTTAACTGCCTGTCCTAAGCCCGGATAAATGAGGAGGATTGGGCATGGGGTTAGCCACCCCATCCCGTAGAAAACGAACTCGCTAAAAAACAACGCTTACCAGAAAAACATCTTTATTTCTTAAAGTATGATAAAATTTCTTATAAAATTCAGTAGTCTATTCAGTAGTCTTTATTTAGTTATACAGTTTGTTTATTGTATACAATAAAACAATGAAAATACATATAACACCACATGAACTTCCGATAGTTATTGTCATTTGATGTGAAAAAAACGTGACACGCACACACACACACAAACATACCTAAACACAAATTATATAACATCATGCAGAGATGTACTTTAATCCCTTTTGTTTGAAATACAAAACTTTTTTTATTTTCGGTAGCAAATTTTACACTTAAAACACATACTATGAAAAATATTATCTGATTTATTTTGAGTAATCGGAAACATTAGGGTTTAAAGATGTTATTCAAGGAGGATAATACAGTGAAAAAAATGTGGAAAGAGAAAAAGGAAAGGGATATGAAGAATTCAGAAGATTAGAATTTGGAAGAACACAAAGAGTGCATGCACCTGCGCCATTGCAAACGATTTTGAGTCATGTCACTCAAGGTCTCTAACCATCGGTTGCTATCGTCTCGCGGATGCCAACCAGGTAGTCTAAACCTACCAACATGACTCAGTCCACTTGTCAGTGACTTCATGAATTTGTGCCATGTTTTGGTCTGGCCGCCCCTAACTTTCTTCCAACCTACTCCTACACCATAAAACATCGCACGTTGGGGCAATCGGTAGTTGGGCATACGTAACACGTGTTGCATGGAGGACAGCTGAAAGATGCAGTGCAAGTGAAGGCCAAAGTCAGATAAGGCTATCTACTCTCTCCTTTCTCTTTCTTCTCGTAGTTGGCTGGACTGTGAAGACCTCGACATCGGAGGGAAAGTACAGAATACAATGGACAGCTCAGAATGAATGAGAAGATTTGGACTTCGCAGATGACCTAGCTATTCTATCACATACATAAGAACAAATGCAGATGAAGGCAAACAGTGAAGCAGTGCCCTCTGCAACAATAGGCCTCAACATACATAAGGGAAAAAGCAATGTCCTGAAATACAACACAGAGAACACCATCTCAAACACACTTGATGGAGAAGCTCTGGTAGAGCTGGAAGCTTTCACGTATCTGTGTAGCATCATCGATAAGCAAGGAGGATCCCATGCAAAAGTAAAGGTGAGGATTGCCAAATCAAGGACAGTATTTCTACAATTGACGAGTATATGGTACTCAAAACAACTGTCTGTCGACTAATATCAAAGTCACAATCTTCAATAGGAACGTCAACATAGTTCTACTGTACGGAGTTGAAATTTCAAGAACTACCATCACCACTATCAAAAAGGTACAGGTATTGTCTACGTAAGAAATCGAATGTTTATTGACCATATACTATCAGCACCAACCCACTATGGGAGAGAACAAACCAAATTTCAACTGATAAGAAAATTATGAATAGACATTGTAAGTGGATAGGATACATATTGAGAAAATCATCATGAGGCAACCGCTTACTTGAAATTCTGAAGGGAAACAGAAAACAAAAACAAGACCAAAGAACACACTGTTCCGATAATTAAAAGCAAACATGAAAAAGATGAATAACAACTGGAATCAACCAGAAAGGATTGACTAGGACAGAGTTAGGTAGCGAAGGTTGGTGAGTAGCCTATGCTACTCCATGAAAGATAACAGGCATAAGTAATATATATATATATATATATATATATATATATATATATATATATATATATATATATATATTGAAAGCTTACTTTTTCTGTTTCCAATCGATTAACTACACGTAAAGGTAATTCTGGTAATTCTCCATCAGTATGAAATAAATTCACTGTTACTAATGGTGTTTTATTTGAATTCATTTTATGACTAGATCTAGTACGTTTCAATGAATATTTCTTTTGATAATCTAAATGATTAAAATGAATTTCTTTAGAAAATGTATGTTTCCCTGTATATTTATCATTGATTATTATATTCTCTATAGGAGATTGATTTGATGAATATGATGTTTTAGGTGATGATGAACCATTAGTATAATTTGATGAACATAATGATGATGATCTTGATAATGAATTTAATGTTGTTAATGATGAATGTATAGATTCATCAGCAAAATGTACATGTTTGAAAGTATCTGATAATCTATTATAATTTAAATAATTTGTAATATCAATAAATTGATTATTAGAAGGATTCTTGATCGTGTTTTCATTGTCTAATTCATTCTCATAACTAATATTATTATCATTATTATTATTATTTTGATCTTTATTATCAATCTCATTATTTGTTAATGTTTGTTGGATCCATTTACCTAAATGACATTGTGTATCTTTATAAAATGGATGATATTTAAGTTTTTCAAATGGTGATATTAATTTCCATTTATTTCTTGGATTTAACATAATTGATGTACTTGGTAAACTGGAACATCTATAATCTCTTTGATTGAATTGATGTTGTCGATATGATAATGATGAAGATGCTGATGTTGATGATGACAATGACTCTGTTGTTGTTGTTGTTGTTGTTGATGATGATGATGATGATATTGGTTGAGCTATACATTCAAGTGATGGTACACAATTCAATGTATATAAACAACATATATTACCTGTTGTTAAAGAATGTTTAATATATGATGATTGTAATTTTATATTAGATAATTGATATGAAAGTTTATTGATATCATTCCTTATTTGATTATGAATTAAATTTGAACATGGATTATAATAAGAATGATAATGAATATGTGAACATTTATGTATATAATTATGCATATTATAAGGATGAAATAAACAATTTTCAGAATGATATTTTCTAGATAATAATATTTTTATATTATCATTAGGTTGTCTTGTACTTAATCTTTCTACTGTTAATGGATTATTCAATGGATCATTCATGGATTGAGTGGTATTATATTGTTTTATCAATTTATCATTATTATCTTTTTTATCTAATTGTTGACATGGACTATTTTGTTGATGTTGATGATGATGATGATACTGCTGCTGCTGCTGCTGCGGATGATGATGACGATGATAATGATGATGATGACGAGGATTATAATGATGAGGATGATGATGATGATTATGATCATAATTTATAAATGACTTATGAATATGTTTCGATTCAATTCGTTGAGATTTCAATGATGAACGTGACCATATACTACGTAATCTTAAGATTACATTTATACGAATTTTTTCAGTTTTACATGATTTTAATATTTTAGAATTTGATAAATTGATCATTGAGAATAACTTAGATTTTTCAGTTGAATTAACTGCATTATCTTGTACTGAATTATTCATTGATTGATTAGTTGGATCATTGGTTTTAGTTGTTATGTAATTAGTTTGTACAATATAATCACATGGATGTTTTTTATAATGATGATATTGTTTATCTACAGGAATCATTTCTATAAAATAGGAGTAAATATATATATTTAGAAGGGGGATTTGTGGAGATCGTAGTAATTTCAATAGTTGAAATCATGATTCAATTGAAGCTAGATGACCATGGAAATCCTGAAAGCACTGGACGGCTGTTTCGTCCCAGTGTGGAACTCCTCAGCGGTGTGAATCCACGATCCCACTTCGCGAGATTTGAACCCAAGACTTATCAGTCTTGCACGCAAACGCTTAACCTCTAAACCATAATTGGATACCCGCTCAGTGGTCTAGAGGTTAGGCGTTCGCGTGCGAGACTGATAAGTCTTGGGTTCGAGTCTCGAGAGGTGGGGTTGTGGATGCTGAAGTTTGTGCTGATGATATCGTTCAGAAGAACGATGAAAGCCATACGACTAAACCATCCAGCTCAGGGAACAGAACTTCATCAGAGAGATCGTGGATGCGCACTGCTGAAGAGTCCTGCAGTAGGATGAAACGGGCATCCAGTGCTTCCAGGTTTTCTATGGTGATCTAGCTTCAATCGACTCATGATCCCAACCATTAAAATGAATACATATAATAATTTCTATTATTATACAGTAATTATTGTTTATCAATGATACTATTTACTACAATTCTTAAGGAGAATTATTGAAACGGAATGATGAATAAATTGAAAGCGAAATTTTGATGGAGTTTTGTTCTCTGAGCTGGATGGTTTGGTCGTGGAGGTTTCATCATTCTTCTGAACGACATCATGAGCACAAAATTTACAAACTTCTATCTGAAGTTTGTGCTGATAACGTCGTTCAGAAGAACGATGAAATCTGCACGACCACACCATTCAGCTCAGTGAACAAAACTTCATCAAAATCATCCACGTGAGCTACAAATCTTCTCCACCATCTGAAAGCAAAAGCCATACAAAAAAGAGTTGACATTTAAATGACCACTGAATAATGATCAATATCATGTTTTTTATAGTTTTTTTAAAAAAAAATATTTTGCAACTTCTATCGATCAATTACCTCAATCCAGTAAACATGGTGTCCAGTCATTTAGACTAATGGTAACATTTCAATGTAATCTAGTCATTACTAAAGGATTAGACAAACATAATATCTGTTACTATTCACTTATCAACTAATGTAAACATTCTAACCATATGAGAGGTCATTTGTATCAAGGATAGTCTACTAAAAATGTTTCAGTCTATGAAACTAGGTGATTCAGCATCGGATCCGACGAGGAATATTAACTGCTTCAATATAGTATTTACAACGTGCTGACGAGTATCCAACTAGCAAGCAGCCTAGATTTAGGATTCCTTATCAGTAGTTACTTACAACCATCTAACAAAAAAAACGGTTTAGAATTTGTGATATGAAACTAAGTTAATATAATATTTAAAATTATACAGACTTTATAGATCATATTTATAATAACTGTCAGCTATCATTATTTATCACAGACTGATTCCAGTAAGATAATGATTGAAAACCACGGAAAACTAGACAGACGTTTCAGTCTAATCTCAAAACTCTCTTGATGTGGCTAAGGTCCGAATTCATGAGTGCTGATCTCACAGTGATGACATTAGCTTTAGGCTATCGCATACTTCATTCATGATGTATTTGAGATCAATTTGTTTCACAAAATAGTGTATTCTCAGTTTGTTTCTGTTTTCGATTGTTCTTTTCCTATGCCTCGTATAGCATTCATGTTTAGATATTACCATAGATTTCTGATTACTGGATGATTAGTTTAGACAAAGATTCAATGTAAAATACTTGTAAAGTATGTTCTCACACTTTTTGTTTCAATTATCAATTGAAATGATTTGTCAGAATTAATCTTCATAATTTCTCAGTCTTACAGTCAACTAATTTCATTTGATTTATAGGAATTAGCAACACTATATTACTGTTCCGTCCTTGATCTGTCCACGCAATAATATACAAGAGAGAACTTGTCTAGATCTAGATCAAGGCCTTGACACAACATGCTAGTCGGCTTAAACTTGAGGGTCCGAATCAAGACTAACGACTTTGATCAGAGACGAAAACTATCCTATCACGTGGTTGATTAACAAGCTGTGAACGTGGAAGACTGTAACTAATAGACTGAGTATAACTTAAGAACAGTAAATTGTATAATAATAATCTATAAGTCAAAATGAAGCTTATAATAAGATGAATATAGATATACATAATCTAGTTACTGAATAGTTATACCATAGGAATATATAAATAATATTAGTCCATTAATAGGTCTCAGAAGTTACTTGTAATTTTATCTTCGCTAGGATATAACACACTTTTAACCCTTTAAATACTTACATTTTAGCTCCATCATAGACGCTCATATTATTTGAATCTTAATCTTCAAATGGAAACATGAAAGAAATTTTACTTCAAAGGTTAGGTTACATACATGAAACAAGAATGTTGATGAAATTTATAGGAGACCTTAGGATTTCCGAAGCTCCGTAAAAAGAATGTTAGAATTAATACCGAATTTAGTAACTGTTTAAACGGAATTAATACAATAAAATTAGTTTTTTTTCCAGGACTTCTTTGACAGTTTTAAGAATATGTTGACGAGTCAAAGAATTTTAGGTACTCGTCTTGGAATCTGGAGGTGTTTTTTTGTTGTTGAAGAATTACCGATTATCCCAAGTCAGTAAACGTAGATCGTTCATCTAACTTTCGATCTTAGTATTTTGAATTTTTTCACTGTCAAAATTAACATGTTCCATACTTTATTATACTGTTTTACTTAAAAGTTGTCTACATTACCAATCAAATGGTGTTCAAGTAATTTTAACAAATTTTAGAACTATGATTGTTACGTAACTACAAGCAGTTGGCAGAAAACTCTAAATCTAAGCTTTGTGCTAGTTGGCACTCGTTAGTAACTTTCACTTACAATCTTGAAATAATTTGTGGTGCTGATCAGATTTGAGCCTGTGTCTTCCAGCTTCCACAGTCTGAGATGTTATCTCTGAGCTGTTTCGGATAAAATTGACTTCTTGCAGGACTGAGATATTTAAATTAACTGGTCGGTTGGTAGTAACTAAGATTGTGCATTTTAAGTTTTTTTTTAGTAGTGTTCGAATCTTATAGATCACGTTACAGTGTATTCATTCGTCTGAGTGACTGAACAACTGTGTTGAGATATTGGCTTCATTGATTATCTTATCACTTATATGTTGTACCATTGTGTCTTTATTCGATTGTATCAAAAGTAAACATATGACGCCAATATATATTGTAATTATAGACTGACACTTTTTTATCTTAATCAATCATTATGGTTGATTTAAATCTAACTAAATTAGGTCAATTGATTAGGTTTGTTAGGGAAAGTAATATATCACTGGAGTAGATATCTTGTGATTCTCATCATAAACCTTTATCTATTACATGTTGTAATTAATTTTATCGATTTAAAAAAATTTAATCATCCTTTAGTAAAACTAGACCATAAAATATGACGGTTTCTAATTTGTATTGTAAGTTTCTTTTTATTTATTCCAAGTAGCTCCTCGCTTATTCAGTAATTTTCTTAACTTAATGATTCATTAAAGCATATTTATTGAATATCAACCGATTGACTGATGATATTTTCTCCCCCGAATGCCCTGGTACGGCCGAGAGAGGGGAGAGTCCGCTCACCCTCTCGAAAGGCTCGCACATGACCACGTGCATACAACCACTGCCAGAGAAGTCCTACTCACTACCCTCACGTGGCGTTACTGTTGTTTAAGAAATTGAGAAGACGAAAAGTGAATCTATGGAGCTTTAACCGGGTTGGTGGACAAGTAGAGTCCACCTAAGTGAGTTGGAAAACCCTGATTCGAAACCAATGGTGCACATGGGCTCTAGGATCCTGAGGGATCAAAGGACGTATGAACCAATCGTTGGTCACCGCTACCATAGGACTGCATCTCCTTGCGTTGCTCCACTGCCTTGTGGATCTGACCTTTAGGTCAAATGCTCGAGGAGCGGCCCTCTAAGAAAGTCACCTGCTTCGGTTTGAGCACCGGGTCAGTAACATAGCCCATACAAAAATCAAGTGACTTGTGTGGCACATCTGTATTCGACGCTCCTTTGTACCAATGTTTATGTGTTTGAATAAATAAATCTTCATTCATGTGCATATTACCAAGTGGTCTCTTGAAAATTTCAAGTTTTTTTTCTACTGTTTAACCTTTTTAAACATGGAAATTATGTCTACCCCTGATATTATTCATTTACATTAAAGACATAATGCATGCATAAGATGCTAGTAACAAATCATGAGCTATATTCGTGAAACTTCTTAAGTGTGGTGACACAACTGTGTAAGTAATCTTGAGATTAGCTATTGAATAATGAATTTAGATGTGACTATTGGTTATGACATTGGTATTTTTTATGGCTAGCAGACGACTATCACAATGTCGTATGCTGGTCAGTAGTGAGAAAAAAAATACGTTCGTGACAACCTGATTAAGCCATAACACGAATAAAGTTAATAGTTAATATTTTGTAGATACACTTTTGTTGGGGTTTATTAACAAGTCATAATCTACAGTTGAAGAACTTGCTTGACTGTAGCTGCTACCTTGACGTAATGGTCTGAGGGTGAAGTCGTACTGCTAAATGTAGAAAAGTTTGACAGTAGTAAGGTGTTTCTTTCGAGCAACCATCATCTGTAGCGATGCTACCTTCTCACAACGAAGGAAGGAATTAGAAAAGGTCGACCCTAAAAATGTCACACCTCACCGATCTCCGTCTTCGGCGGTAAAGCCTTTTGAAGAATGGAGCTAACACGTTAAAATCTTCCCACAAAAATGCCGTGCATGACCAGCCCCAAGCAGTTGTCCCATGGGCTCTGTGGTCATGCACCCAGGTCGTTAAAACCAACACTAATCCAACTTCCTTTTCAGACTCCTCAAGAAATATCCTCCCACGGTGTAGGCAGCTGGGAAATGATATCAACCCTTGTACTCCGTTGAAGAACTTGAAACCTAGATCTTAGATAT